TCTATCTATCTATCTATCTATCTATCTATCTATCTATCTATCTATCTCTTCTAGCTGTATCTATCTATCTAGTTTTATAAGGGATAGCTCTCAATCTCTCTCTCTGGAAGTGGGAGGGGAAAAAGACATTGAGAAAAAAAAGTGATACAAAACCCCCAAAAGATAGCAATATGAACTATTTTTCAAAAAGCAGTGTTAAATGATAAAATTTGTCCAGAGGGATGGGCCCTGTAGGGAAAACTCCATTCCAATGACTGAAGAAATGTGGGACCATTTTTATGACTGCTATTGTTCTGGCACCTCTCAACTGTGTTTCCTGGTAAATGATTTGAGGATGAGGGTGAGAGTGTTGTAATGTGCTAGGATGTGATTTCATTAATGTTGAAACTAACTGGAATGTGGGGATGTTTGTTCTTTTAAGATCATTTTACATTCCACAAGGGAAAATTGTAACCTTGGAGTCACCAGAGGTTTTGAACCAACAGCTGTGAGTATCACAGGAGAAATGAGAAACAGCAAAGACAATGGGAACAAGAAAAGCTGAGACTTGGCGGACTGGGTAGAGAGCAGTAGAACATTTTGGCACCTGATGGGTGGAGGAGGGATAGGCGAGGCTGAGATCTCTCCTGCGGGGTCTGTGATCACCCTGGCTGATTTCAAAAGGAATTGGACAGTATCTGAGATGAGGAGTGAAGTGACCAAGTTGTTGTTTTTTGTTTTTCGTTTCTTTGTTTTAGCATAAATGCAGAAAAGTTTAGACAATCCACACAATGTGGAAATCATCAGACAGTATTAAAGATGTTTTGGTGATAGAGAATGGTGGATGAGATCATATTCCCCCAGAAAGGGTCCAGAGCGTGTGCCCACTCCTTGGGAAGAAGACTGAAATCTTTCCTTTCTTTTTCTACTGTTCCTTCTAGAAGGGTATAGACTCCCCTACCCAGCCCACTATTACCACTCTTGCCAAGAGGGTTCAGGCCACCCCCTGACTCTTCCTGTAGCCCAAACCACTAGATCTGCTACAGCAGGTGTCAAAACTGGGGTACCCTGAGTTGAGCCTTCACCTTCCTTCATCAAAGGAACACCAACCAACTGCTGATCCCCTTGCCTTAACTCATTTCCCAATGGTTTGCAAACTCCCATCCCCTTTTACTCTCTCCATCCCTGTGAGTCCAAATGAAGAGCAAATGCCCCTTTCTAACTCCTGCAGCCCACAATCTCATCTGCATCTATCTTAACCCTAGTCCTCAGTTCCAACTCTATGTCTATCTATTCATACTATGCCCTCTGAAATTCTGTCCTATAACTAACAAACTTCCTTCGATTTTAGACTTCTTCTAATGCTCCTTCCATTTCCCAGTTTTCACTGCAGCCTGGTTCCCTTCAGAATGCACTATGTTCGAAGCTTTCCTTTCCAGTACTAGTTGCACTTTCTCCATTGCTCTACTTTGTCATATCCAGATTGCCATTACTTAGTGATTACTTACTTTCTGAGTTTCAGTCTTTCCAAATTTATCCTTTGTTATCTCAGCTTCAACTCATACTTTACAAAGAATAAAGGAGATCATTTATCTGAGAGCTTTCTTTTCTTTTCTTCCCTTCATCTCACAATTCCTTCTCTTCATCTTACAACCCTTTAAAGTCTTCCTTTATGCCAGTCTCTGATATTGGTGGCATTTCTCTCCAACAAGATCAACCCCTCTTTATATACTCTTGTTCCAATCCCCTCTCGTCGTCTTTAGCAGATTGCTCTTAATAGCAAGACTTTAATCTTTAGTCTCTTTTATCTACTGGTTCCTTCCCTACTGCCTATAAACACATCCAAGTCTCTTTATCTTTATGTAAGGGTATAGCCCTTTCAGATTTTGACAAGGTTGATGCTTGAAAGGGGCAAAAACTACCACCACCATCACCACCACCACCAACAACGCTGTGAGACTTGGGTATGAAAACCACTAAGAAAGCAGCTACAGAAATAGTGAATTTGCCCAGGGCAAAGTTTGTGTCAGTGTTCTGTGTTACAGTTGATCATTTGCATATGACTGACTGGAAAACTTTGGAGTTAATAATTGGGGAATCTCTGAAGCCCAGAAATGTTTTGTGACTATTGGACAAATGCACATTATCTGGTCATGGTTTAGCTAGCAAAAATGGAGGTTTGGTTACTTAACATGAGCTAAAGGGAAGTCTTTTATTATGTGGATACATTTTTCAGCCAAAAAGTATTGGTAAAACAATCTCAGGGCTGTGTCAAAAAGAGGCTATAGCTATCCATATTAATATTTGCTTCCTAGAACAGTTGGTTAGTTAAAGAGAGCCTCTCAATACTTCTACCTGCTGCCTGGGAGATGCAAAAAGAAGATGAGAGGTCATGCCACTGCATGGCTAACTGCTACCTAGCTTGTAGTCAAGTAAAGTCAACAAGCATTTATTAAGGCCTTGCTATGTACCAGGCACTGTGTTAACTGCTGGTAATACAAATACACACAGAAAGATAGTCCCTGCTCTCAAGGAGCTTACATTCTAATGGAAGATGACACAGATGAGAGCGTTCAGAACTTATCTAAGAAAGCATATGTGGAAAGGATTCTGCTAATTCTATGGAATTCAGAATCCATCCAAGAAAGCAGGTCTGGAAAGGATTTCACCAATCATAGGAGAAAGGTCTATGCCCTTTCTAAGAAGCCATAAGGGTAATTCAGATGGACTCATCAAGTGAACCCAAAGCAAGAAGTACCAAGATCACAGTCACCATTGAGAATCAAACCTCGCTGAGCCAAGTAGTGGTAGAGTAGCCCAGTAGTTGGCTGTGACCAGCTGGGATCTCGTGTTCTCTGAGAAGTTAGCCAAGCTCAGACGTGGAGTCACTGGTACACTACAGGTGCTATGCCCATCAGTGAGTTCTGTAAGGTCAATCTCCAACAGAGACAAAGAACCTTGAGGTCTGAAGTTCCAGACTTGGGAGCTGTCCTGGCCGTGTGTATTCCTACCCACTCTCCCTGACATTCATTCCGGGAACTGGTGCGACATTGTGGGCCAGGCTTATGGGCAGAATGTTATGTAATTTATTTTTGCTTTACCTCTTCAATAAATGCTTTTAGTTAAGATTCATCTTGACTGAGATGTTAGTGGTTAGAACACCAGTGACGACCCTGGGGATACAGTGTTAGTAAGAAAAACCATTAGATTGTAAGCTCCTTGAGGGTGGGAACTGTCTTTTGCCTCTTTTCATATCTCCAGTACTTAACACGGTGCCTGGCACATAGCAGAGCTTAATAAATGTTTATTAACTGATTAAATAACCACATATAAGTGTTATCCCTAAAAGTTTAGAGGCAACTGGTAGCATAGTGGATAGAGCACCGGATCTCAAATCAGAAAGAACTGAATTCAAAACTGGCCTTTGAGTCTTATTAGCTGTGTGACCTTGGGCAAGTCATTTAACCACTGTTTGCCCAAGTTTCCTCAGCTGGAAAATAACAGTATTTACCTTGTTTTGAGAATTAAATGACGTATTTGTAAAAAGTGCTTCACACAATGTCTGGCACATAGTAGGCACTATATAAATGCTCATTCCCTTCTGTCTAACATTGTGAATAAAAGTTGCAGTGTCTTCCCTCTGAGGATCTAACCCAATATAGTGGGTACAGGTTAGAGGAGTGAGCAACAGAAGTGGGGAAGGCAAGGTGGGCTCAATATATTTACTGAGCCCTCACCCACCATTTCTTTGTTGCTATTGTTCAGTCATTTCAGTTGTGTCGAACTCTTCGAGCATGACCTT